AGCCTTTAGTGTAGACATCCAACCGCATGCTTCCTATAACCAACAAGCTTCTGGAAATATTTTTGGTTATGTTCTAAAATACCTTTATTGGCTACAATCTATCTATTCGTACTCTATAACTTATATGCTTACAGGGATTTTTATCTTCAACAGCAAGTTCTTTTGGTGACATTCAGGAATTGTTGCACCGTATAACTCACCAGCTTGACAAGTGACTCCCCTCCCCTGTTAATAGGCACACAATAACTGGATCATTCAACTTCAAAATGCGTTGTTTCATTGATTTACACACTCTGGAAACTGGTATTTAGGAAGAAAATCTAAAATCTATCCAAAAACACATTGACCCCAATTTAAATTAGTTAATGAGCCTAAATGTGAGGCTGAGTGGAATTTTAGGCTAAAGAACAAAGCAAGTTCACCTTAGAACCAAGGAATTTTGCATGTTTAAAATATAAATTAAGTTTTTATATTGAGTCTTCAACCATTCTATTGTCTCAGAAGGCAAAAAGGCTTAATTTTTCCTTTACAGATTTAAACATATTACAGCTTAGAGAGGTTCTTCAAAATCTCTCCTGACTGGATAAGTTAAGGCCACTGGTCTTAAAGAAGGTATTGAGGGGTGGACTTGTCTCTCATCAAAGGACCTATTGTGGATCTCACCATACATATCAGCCCTTTGTGCAAAGGAAATCGCATTCTTCATCCCACTATGATATGGAGTGTTGGCTTTGTCACTAGAGCAGTGTGCTTGTGCTCTGAGAAGGTTGCAAGTACCCGGTTCAATCCCCACAGCCTCTTCTCTGGGTTCCTGAGCAAACCCCTTAACCCCACACTGCTTCCCGGGCGCCGCACAATGGCAGCCCACTGCTCCCCGAGGGGATGGGTTAAATGCAGAGAGATAATTTCCCCACTGTGAAAACCTATGTTTATCTCTGTGTAAATAAAAATATAACTGAAACAAAAACTCATCTATCTGTTGAGGTTCACAGTTTTCTGGGACTTTGCACCACATTTCTTCCTCATTGCTAAAAGAGGAACTCTTAAGCAAATTTATTCTCTGTGGAAAGTCAAAAGGAACCTGTTGACCAAGGGTTCACAGCTTCTCTGTTCTAACAGAAACAGCATGACTTTTATTAATAGCTTAATCCGAAATAGCTATAATGAAATAACATCTTCATTTCACTTCTCGTTGTTTCCTTGTTTAAACTAAAACGTGCTTATGAGCCTACTGACAATCAAAGAACAGCACATTTATCCAGTTTTGTCTCCAGATAGATAGATAGATAGATAGATAGATAGATAGATAGATAGGTAGGTAGGTAGGTAGGTATTTTTTTTTTTCAAACATTTAACAAAAAAAATGTTCTCCCACCAGAGTTAAAAAACTGAACTGAGTTACTGGTTTTGTGCATGAAAGCAAATAATACTTATCGAGGAGAGTTTCTGCACTGAGTAATTTAAATAAAATTTTTAATTTTTAAAAATCTAGATTAATCTCACTGTAATCTTGGAATTAATCTAGATTAAAATCGCTCATTTGAATTCTGCCAAAGAAATTCATGATATAGAAATACTGTTATTCTATGATTTTGAGCTACAAATTGGGTCATTTTAGTGTCATACACTTTAAATGCAGTTTGGTTAGCCCCCCATAATATTCTATAAATATTATCCGTCCATCCATTCTCTTCCGCTTGTTCTGTCAGGATCGCATAAGGGCCAGTGCCTATCTCCAGCAGTCTATGGGCGAGATGGGGTGTACGTCCTGGAGAGGTGTCCATTCTGTCACAGGACAACACAGAGTCACAGTGTCATACAACCCTGCACACACACTCACACCTTAGGACTATGAGATAGGAATCCCTTAAGAGATAAGAAACGAGCAGTATATAAAGAAAGTGAAAAACAATTTATTTTGTTTGTTTTAAGAGGATTGATTTGCCAAAAAAAAAAAAAAAGAATTACAGCAAGCAGACCATTCCTTTAATTGTAAAAAAGCTTCCTGCATGTTTCTTCTATGAATTTTAACGATCCATCTTGTGAAATATTTTGAGGAGCTACTTTTGGTGATGAGCTCCAAGTCCTGTTCATCTCAGATTTCATTTAGAGCTATCAATGTACTATTGCAAAAAGCAAATATTAGTCAGAAGAAAAAACTTTTTAGTAGAAGTATACACAATTAATATTCTGCGTTTACATAGATCCCAATAAAGTAAAATATTTTAGCAAATTTTTTTAGGATTCAAACAAAATAATGACAATATAAACATTTAAATCATTTGCATTCAAGAGGAACAATAAGCATTCAATATGCTCTGAAGCTGTTAAAGAGGTTAAAGTTGTTCCATAATCAGTTGAATGCGTATACTTAATCTAAAAAAGATATGATCAAGTGCTTTTTTTAAAATAATGTCAAACAATAAACCATTACGTTGTTGCACACTTGAAAAGAGACCCTTACAACACAGTTGTCTAAACCTTAGTCATGTAACGGAAAAACATTTAAAAACCGATTGATTTAAACATTTTGCTTGTGGTGACTGTGTGTCTCATTGTCGTCCTTTGCTTTAGCCTGTAAAGGAGAAATAAATACTGTGGTTAGAGGGAAGAGCTAAAATAGGAGGTATTTATCAAACATATATGACTTGCAGGATGGAAATAGTTTTCTTTAAATTCTTTTGGTTTTGAGATACTTGCTATGTGTTTTTTTTTTAGGGGGGATATTAATTGGCCTTTAGCAGTATTTGACTTTGAAATTATGCATACAACTCTCTGTGTCAAGCAAATAAAGATACATAGCTAATCTGGCAGTATAAATAATGCTCCCTAAATAGTTACCCTTTTTCCACCCTGTGGCTTTTTAATAACAACAGAGCTGTAGGTCACATCTCCATCGCTTTCAACAGGTAATGCCTGTGTCCCAAACAGAAATAAACACAGCAGAAGTTTTATATATTTGCACATTCTTTAAATGGTCACGGCTCACTGCAATATTATGTTTCGCATAGCAGTTTACCTGATTTTTCTTGAAACTGACTTCTGAATACGTAACCTCCCCTTCCTTCTGTAAATGAACACATTAAAATATCGGCATACATCAAAAGCTTTTCTTAACCCAATGTAAAAATTATTTTTTTTAATTAGAGCTATAAAAGTTACAACAGTACAAAACAGAATTCTGTTGAATAAACCTATTATATATATATATATATATATATATATATATATATATATATATATATATATATATATATATATATATATATATATTTATATATAATAGGTTTATTCAACAGAATTCTGTTTAAAAGATTATAAAGATTATAAAGATTATAAAGGTTATAAAGATTTTTATTTAGATAATAAATCATATTGATGTGGTCATTCTTTTAACATCACTAACCAAGTTGGAGCTGCCACTTGAATCTTGAATTTTGGCACGTTCTGTAAAACATTAAATGGCTATATTATGCTTTTTGACATTAAATAATCTGGATTCAATAATTACAAACAAATAGGAAGACCTACTGGTTCTAAACAGTACTAATAACGCCACAATAGCAACCAAAATCAATGAAACCAGAGGGATGATGAGGCTCAGTAGTGCAGGAAAAGTTCTGAAAAATACATTTTACATTGCGTATTAGACAAGTCTAATATCTAAAACTCAGACAACTATTTAAAAAAAAAGACTTCTGACCTGTCTTCTTTGGTTTTCTGGTCTTCTTTCTGGTCTTCTATTGTAGCAGATTCTGTTGCTGCTGTAACTGTAGTCGATTCGACTACATTTCAAACAAGGAAATAATTTCATTGTTTTATATGTCAGTAAAATGAAAATATCAAAGACTAGTCTGAGTTGGGATCTGACTGCCATGAATATAAATAGTGATTCTGGACCAATAGCAAAAGTTAAAAAAAGTTTTTATCAATAGCAAATAGTTTTTAAAGATAGTTTTTGAGGTAGCCTAATGCCAGAAAAGCTAACCTGTAATGAGTTAAAGAATGTCATACTTTATATTTACTTTTAATCATCAAATTGAATGGAGTGAAACTGAACAAATCTATGTGTGATGGTATATAGAGGATAAAATAATTAGGTTAAAGGGTTATTATTCTTATGATTAGAGCAAAGACAACATAGCTACAACACACAAGGTTAATGTTAACATCCACTTTTGCATGAGCACTGAAATTAATAATCAGCTATTAAATTCATGCATAGCTCATGCATTTAGTATGTTCTTACCAGTGGGTCTGATGGTCACAGTCAGATAAATTGGCATCTGAAGGTCTCCATTGACACAGTAATACCAACCACTGTTCCCTGCTCTCAGTCCACTCATGGTCACACTGAATGAATCTTTCTTCTTGTCAGTGTTTACTGTTATTCCATCTATTAATCCATCTTTGATACATGTCCTGCCCAGTTTACACCAATCAATGTTTCCTTTGGCTCTGTAGTAGCAGGTTATGGTTGTGTTTTCTCCAATAAATCCTGTCACCATCTGATCAGTCACATATAGACTGGATTTGTCTTCATGGGAAACAAATCATAATAAACACTTTAATTTTGTAGACTTCATGCTCCAAACATTGTTTTGCTTTTAATGAAAACATAGTAAGATATATTCATGACTATTTTACTTTTTTTCCCTTTTTTTGTCTTGTTTAAAAGTGTTTAAAATATGTTTTTTTTTTTTTTGTAATTGCTTACCTCTGGTGAATGACAGGTGAAAATACTTCCGGACATCTCCCCCATTATCAATCTCCACGGCGCACCAGTAATAAGAACCTTCAGCCGTCGACTCTTTTATGGTTACATTGAAAATGTTTTGACTTTTGTCATCAGAAATCGAATACTCTTGGTTTTCTGGTGAATGTGTTTTAATTGCATATTGGCAGGAACTGAAATAATATCCTTTACATAAATATTTCACATGGCCTCTGTATTTTGGTTGATAAAGACAGGGGATAGATATGGAAGTTCCAACCTTTACAGCAACCTTGCTGATAGTGGTAATACTTTCAGCTCCTGTGGAACAAAATATAACTTAAAAGGGCATATTTTCAATGTTTTACTGCAAATATCTTAAAACATAAGAGAAAAAAAACTGGCTGCTCATGGCAAATATAACTAAAAACTACTGGTTAAGATTCCAAGTCATTCAGGATATGGCAAACAAAAAAAAGTGTTAAAAAACGATACTAATGGACATCAGTGCTTAAGCATATAAAAATCTGTATTAATACCAAAGACAAGAGGAAGGAGACCGAAGCTTAAGTTCTTATGTATGCTTTACTGACTGTGTTTATGCTTTTAGACTAAAGAAAAATATTTTTCATATCTACGGCAATATATTACTGTGAAGCAGAAATAGTGATCTGTGAGTAACATCATCTTTAATGTTAAATTACAGAACTCTCTGAGGCATTAAAAAAACTTTAGGTTTTCTAGATGAAAACTGAAACGAATTTACATAATTTACATTTTAGACCAAAAACATATGATTATGTCTACATATGATAAAAAGTGTTATCCAAAGACACTTACCTGTTATGAGAGTAAGAATTAGAAGAAAACCCAGAGAATTAGACATATTGATACAAGGACAGCAGTAACATCCACTTGCTCTGTAAAACTGAGTTACTACTTCCTTTTTTTTATTTTTATTATTCTCTCAAAGTTTCAACATCCTTTGCTTGGAACTGCCGCCTAGTTATTATAATTATCTACATTACTGTTAATTCACACCTTTTTCTGTTTGTTGATCCCAAATTCAGCACAATAAATGCTAAACCTTAGAGAAGGGTTTCTTTCTCTAATATATGCTTTTAATGGCATGATCTTTTTCTGAATTTTAAGTACAAGAAACAGCAACAGAAAATTACAACAGAAGTGGAATTTTCTTGTTGCTGTGGTGTTGAAAGAGGTCACCTTTTGCAGTAACAAACTTGTAACATTTTGAGAGGTGTTGACACATAAGCAGTTCAAATGTAGTTTTTCTAACAAAGAAAAAATTAAAATTGATTTCAATCAATAAAAGTAATAAAACCACCAATTGAGCTTAGGAAAAATGAAGTCATTGCATCTGATTGAATCTACCTCTAAACCTTAGCATGCCATTTTGCATAATGTTCTTACATAATTGCACGTTAAACACTGATTATAGTACAAACTGCTTGCATTTCCTTTCACAATAATTTGATATATAGATAGCGATCAGAAAAATTAGCCAATGAGCTTTAGGTGTTAAAACATCTTTGCTGATGTCACTGTCAGGGGAGAATAAACCAACTGACAGCAGAAGCTCAAATAACCACATTTGCAGGTATATTTCTCATAAAATCAAAAGCAATGGTCACATTATCAGAGTATGCTGTTCAGTGATATGCTGCTCGCACCATCCTCCTGAGCTAAGCTTTAACAAACGTATTTGGTAAAGAAATTAAAGAGTACAAATATTTGCAAACAACTTAATCTACATAAACACATTAGCCTTACTTATTATAGCATTATCAAAGTAACAAAGAAATGTTGTACATATTGTGGGTTTTATTTTAAAAGCATATAAGGAAAAATGTTTTGACAAACTGATTCAGGTTTTAACAAACAGAAAATACCCTTTTATACAACAAATGTTTGGGGTGAACTATTGCTGTTTAAATGGTTTCCCCCTCTTGTTTCACTCAGTTGAAAGAAACGGAACCACAATAGTAAAAAACAAGTGATGAGTGATGAAAGTTCCTTAAATATAAGGATGCAGAATGTAAATGTTCATTCTGAAGACTTGATGTATTGTGTTTTTTTTTTTTTATAAAACGGCAAAAAAAGATAAGATCAGCAAACCAAGAGGCTTGAAAGATATTCTGGTACTTTGTATAGAAGTCTGCAATAAACATCAGTTTTTTTTTAAATATATCTTATGGGGATTTTTGTCCCCTTCAGTTCTGTTATAATCATAAAATAAATATCACACTTTGACTAATTTGTCAAAAGTTCATCAAATGTAGTTGCAGTTGATTATGTAACATAGGTTTCTTCCATACCAGAGGGTAAAGCTGTAAATTAAAACCAAGTTATCATCTGTGGATTTATTGGTGTTGTGGTCAAGACCACACCAACCAAAACCAAGACAAGGCCAAGACAATATATGGTCTTGGTCTTTATTGGTGTAGTCTTGACTAAAACACCAGGCTGTCATGAATGGGTGGTGAGGTTGCTTGAGGACCCAGATGCAGAGACGAGAGAAGCAGAAATGAGTTCTGAGAGATTTAATTGCAGACCATAGGTAACAGAGGAAGAAATCAGAAATCCAACTTAAATTGCTCAACAAGCCAAAACCATGAAGACATCAGGGGAAAACGAGCCTGAGGAGCCGGGGAGAGACGAGGCAGGAAGAAAGCAGCAATGACAGGACATGCAACAACATGGAACCAACAAGGAGTGACAGCAGAGGGAGAGTATAAATAGGTGACTGAAACAAAGGCAGGGCTAACGAGCTGATAAGGAGCAGGTGTGAGAGGAGACAACGAGGGAGCCAAGGGGAAAGGAACACACACACACACACACACACACACACACGAGGGCAACAGAAAAACATGAGAACTAACATAAATCTAGAAATAACAAAACTAGAATTAAACAAATAAAACTAGAAAACAAGGAGCAAAGTAAAGTACAACAGAACCAAGACCATGATAGTGCCCCCCACTTAAGGGCGATCCAAGATGCCCTAAAATGTCCAGAAACAAAAAATAACCCACCCAGGGTGGGCGGAGGGGGAACCAGGAAAGAGGGCACGAACAAAACCAAATGCAGAGTCCAAATAAAAACCAAAACAACCCACCTAAGGTGGGCGAGGGCACACAAAGTCTCTGGAGGGCGTCCGTGTGGCCGGAGACCAGGAAGAGTCTTGAAGGAGGGTCTCTGGAGGAGGCCGGCAGCGACGCCATCTCTGACGAAGGAGGGCCTCCAGAGGAGGCTGGCGACGAAGGAGGACCCTTGGAGGACGCCGGCGATGAAGGAGGACCCTTGGAGGATGCCGTCTCTGATGTAGCGGCCCAGGAGGACACCGACTCGGTTGCAGCAGGAACCTCGGAGGAGGGCGCAGTCTGTGCTGCTGCAGGAGGACCTCTGGCAGAGGCCTGCGATGCCGTCTCTGACAAAAGGGGTGCCTTTGGAGGAGGACACCGTCTCAGATGCAGCGACCATGGAGGAGGGCACCGTCTCTGACGCGGCAGCAGCAGTCGCCTTGGGGGGCACAGTCTCAGACGCGGCAGCAGACGCCGCCTTGGGGGCCGCCGACTGCGGCACAGGAACAGCCTCAGAGGGGGGCCGCCGACTGCGGCACAGGAAAAGCCTCGGAGGGGGCCGCCGACTGCGGCACACTAACAGCTTCAGAGGGGGCTTGGAGAGCCTGCTGAGGGGCCTTGGAGGCTTGGAGAGCCTGCTGAGGGGCCTTGGAGGCTTGGAAGTCCCGCTGAGGGGCCTTGGAGGCTTGGAGAGCCCGCTGAGCTTTAATTCAGAGAGCCTTTTATTAGTGTGCTCAGGGGTATCTGGACGGCCTAGTGCGGGCTAAGGGGTCTCTGGCACTAGGCTTAACGGCCAGCTAATGGGCTCAGGCACTGGGGAAACTGGCCCGCTCATGGGCTCAGAAGCTAGGGAAACTGGCCCGCTTATGGGCTCGGAAGCTAGGGAAACTGGCCCGCTCATGGGCTCGGAAGCTAGGGAAACTGGCCCGCTAATGGGCTCTGAAGCTGATGGAGGTGGCAGGGAAAAGATCTTCCCTCTCTCCATAAAAGAAGCCCCTTAACTAAGACTCCTCTAGATGGGGAGCTCTGACTGCAGGGGGTGTAATCATGGGTACCGATTTGAGTCTCTTCAAAGATGGGGCTAGCTGTTGGTCATGGAGGTGACGACTGAGACTAAGGGAAAAACTGACCTGGTTGCGAGGGGGCTAAAGCTAGAAGCTGGCTGACCCATGGGAGTGGAGGTGTTAGGTTGACCCTCCAGAGAGAGGGGAAGCGTCAGACTGACCCGCCGGAGAGGGAGTGGAGGCGTCAGGCTGACCCACCAGAGAGGGAGTGGTCTTCTTCCCCCGGCGGCGCTTACGCCTGGAGGAAACAGATGGCTGGGGAGAAATTATAGAGGCTGAGGGAGAAGTGGAAGGAACTGATGGAGAGGTTGAGCAGGCAACCGCTGCAAGTGATTGTGGTCGAGGTGGAGGAGGCTTATTAAAAAGCTGAGCAAAAGCTGCCTTTTGGTTCCACTCCACCTCTTCTATAATGTCCAGAAACCATAGGGATGACAGGAGAGTTGTTTGCGGGGTTAAAATCTCTTTAAGGTCGGCAGCAGCACATACCCCGTCTTCAGGGAGGGCTGAGAGTGGCAATCCTGTCCAGAGTGAACCGACAGTTCTCCTGAATATTTGTCATGCTTCCTGCAATGTTTGACTCTGCTGGGTCCATCCTGGTTGGTTCCTTCTGTCATGAATGGGTGGTGAGGTTGCTTGAAGACTCAGATGCAGAGACGAGTGAAGCAGAGATGATTTCTGAGAGATTTAATTGCAGACCATAGGTAACAGAGGAAGATATACAGAAATCCATCTTAAAATGCTAAACAAACCAAAACCATGAAGACATCAGGGGGAAACGAGCCTGAGGAGACGGGGAGAGACGAGGCAGGAAGAAAGCAGCAACGACAGGACAAGCAAAAAGAAGGAACCAACATGGAGTGACAGCAGAGGGCAGAGTATAAATAGGTGACTGAGACAAAGGCAGGGCTAACGAGCTGACAAGGAGCAGGTGTTAGAGGAGACAACGAGGGAGCCAAGGGGAAAGGAACACACACACACAAGAGGGCAACAGAGGACAACAGAAAAACATGAGAACTAACGTAAATCTAGAAGTTACAACAAAACTGGAATTAAACCAATAAAAATAGAAAACAAGGAGCAAAGTAAAGTACAACAGAACCAAAACTATGACACAGGCTTTAAAAGGGAATACTCTTTGGCATTGGATCTTAATAATACAAATGTCAATGCAGATTTGTTGTCCTTAATACTTTTATAAAACATTTAAGATTGTTACACTGGAAAAAACCGAAATCTAGATAAGTCTCTACAGATCTTTTGAAAAACTAAGGACTTTGATACAAATTTCACTATATAGATATAACAATATCATCATATATTTGCTCAAAGGCTGCTCTTTTAACAGCTCACATTTTTTTTTACCTAATTTATTTGCGCTTTAGCTTTCTACATAATCAAAAAAAGGAAGAACACATTAAAAACAATTAAAAAGAGAAACTTGCACAACTTTGCACCCAGCCATGCAACAGACAACTAAATACATACATTTCAAGTCAGTCCACCCTGAAATCTTTCCACAATGTTGTATCGCCCGCAAATGTGTGTGCATATTCATAATAAAACACTGAACAATTATTAAAAAACAGTAGTGGAGTTTTCTCAGGGGGGGGGCTATAAATCCAAAAAAGACCTATCAATCAAACATATACTAAGTTATCACACCAGTATATTAATTTGAGTGCCAGCAACTACAAACAACTCAACCTCATCATCTAAGCAGAAGTAATAGGCTGGTTTTATCAATAGTTTATTTTCCAACCTTTTTATTGTTTTAACATGTTTTATTCTATTAGTCGTTCTGCAGATGTTTTATTTTGTTCCCGTTTTTTTGGTTTGTTTTACTAATGTCTTCTATGACTGACCAATTTTAAGATACATTAAATGACTTTTGATTTGTTCCAAGATGAGCTGATGACCAATTCATAAAGAGAGGATCTGTTATCACTTAAAGTTTTGGTAAACGCTATAAGTGTCATACAGAAACAGTTTTGTGCAGAAGCTGCTCCTTCTGCCAGGGTGTGACCAGTAGGTCACACTTAAAAAAAATTATCAAGAAATAAGTAAAGATTTCTTAAAAAGTGTTTTAACCCTAATTTGAGTAGGTAAATAAGATGATTTGCCAATGGAACCAGTATTTTTACTTAAAGAAATGAAGGACGCAATCCTTATTCAATAGACTGGTGAAAACCCTGTTTAATATCTGGACCATTATTCATCTCTACTGCACAACAATAATGATTTATGCTATATTTCAGCTGCACCGTAATCACTTTAAATATTGGTTCTCGTTTTTGGTTGTTGCCGTAATTTCGAGTTATTATGATTAATAAGTTATTTCAACATTTGTTGTTTAATATTATAATCTCTCTTTGTTTTTTCATCTTTATAGTAACTACATCTGCCTTGACACTGTGTTTAACTGTGGCACCATCCTGTGGTGGGGTGAGCTCCTGCTGCCACTTCATGTTCTCCTTATATACTTGATGTACCTGACCCAGTGTTTCAATAATTTTCCCTGTCTCTCTCCTAGAGATAACCATTGTCTAGGTTCTACAGGGCTACTCAGTGGCGCAGTGGGTAGCACTGCTGCCTTGCAGCAAGAAGGTTCTTGGTTCAATTCCTGGTCTTTCTGCATGGAGTTTGCATGTCCTTCCTGAGCATGTGTGGGTTCTCTCTGGGTACTCTGGCTATAGTTAACTAAGGGCTATAAAATGGCTCAGTGCTTATCTCTTTAGCTGTGATTCTCTGTAGTTGCCTAAACAATCTTGTTGGCTGTTTTAGATAAATGATATCTTAGTTGCAAACATATCTTTTATATAATTGTAGGACATGATTTTTGGATTACTTTTAATGAGATAAAGGATAGCGACCGAAGCTTTATCCTTCTCTGAAACAGTAATACTTTTACACTGGAAAAGCAATCTAGAAATAAGTAAAGATTTCGTAAATCTAGTGTATTTACCTTCAATCTGAGTATGTAAATGAGATAGTCTGCCAATTGAATGAGTAGTTTTACTCCTAAAATAAGATAATTTGATAATAAGACAATGCAGTTTTGTTTTCTTATTTTAAGTGTAAATTGTCACATTCCATAGGCAAAATGTCTGTTTTACCTCCTCAATTCAAGAACAAATGCACTTATTTTAATAAAAAAAAATACTTATCTAGATTTTGATTTTTTTGTGTTTTTTGCAAAAAGTACCTAGTATAATCCACTTGTAGATTACTGCACACCGAAAGAGATATGTTTTTTTAGGCAAAGGGAGAACAAAGATGACAATATGATTCTAAAAGCCCCGTCCTCCTGTGATAGTAAGAATAAGAGATTTTTCTAAATGTACAGTATAACACAAACACAGCTTTAAGTTCTAATTAAAGCTGTGTTTAATTGGAACTTAATCACACAGGAGAATGGGGAGAAAGACTGGATCCACCGAGGCTCCATACGCCTGGAACACATGTCCAAGTTCTTGGAGATGAAATTGAACCAAGACTCCAATGCAGAAAATTCTGACCCTAAATTCTGACCTATTGATTGACATTAGGGAGACTAAAATATTCTTTAATGCATCTTTTGGCAAATGTGATCCCAATTTCTTCCCTTTTGTATTTTCATTTGTTGTCCTCACAATATGTTAAAGTTTAGTTTATCATTGTTTTTAACTTTGTTAATAATTTTTGAATCTGCATCTGAATCTGTCATGTACCTTTTTGTTTTTTCATTATTAAATAGAAAAGGTTTTAAAATGTTTTTTGTCTGTCCTTCTGAACTACTTTTTGATTGCTTAGTGTTAGTCAAGCCAAATTTTATTCATCTAGTGCATGCATCATCTTTCTGCATCATATTTGAAAACCTTAAACTTGTGTATATTTTAGTGGTTAAACCAAACAAGTTCTATCAGACTCCCATGAAAACGGCTGCATCTAATTTGCTTCCAAATGAGGTGTTGGAGATGGTGGTTATAATTTGAACGAATGTTTTGGACTCATTGCTGTCAGCCTTTAGTGTAGACATCCAACCGCATGCTTCCTATAACCAACAAGCTTCTGGAAATATTTTTGGATATGTTCTAAAATACTTTTATTGGCTACAATCTATCTATTCATACTCTTACTTATATGCTTACAGGGATTTTTATCTTCAACAGCAAGTTCTTTTGGTGACTCCCCTCCCCTGTTAATAGGCACACAATAACTGGATCATTCAACTTCAAAATGCATGGTCCTATTAGTGTACAAGGCATTCTATGAAGGGAATAACCAGCAGAAAAAAATGTTTCATTGATTTACCCACTCCGGAAACTGGTATTTAGGAAGAAAATCTAAAATCTATCCAAAAACACATTGACACCAATTTAAATTAGTTAATGAGCCTAAATGTGAAGTTGAGTGGAAATTTAGGCTAAATAACAAAGCAAGTTCACCTTAGAACCAAGGCATTTTGCATGTTTAAAATATAAATTAAGTTTTTATATTGAGTTTTCAACCATTCTTTTCTT